GTCTGAGACTATAATCACCTGCTATTTTTAGAAAATCAAAATCCTGGGAATAAGACCCTTCCCATAAGTATCTGCCATCTGAAATAATACTATGAAATGACTGTGCCTCTGTTTGACATTAAAGTCGAGGAAAAACAAAGTGGGTGGTAGAGATTTTATGATTAGAGACCTATTTCATAACATGGGAAATACCTATTTCTATTTTATAGACAACTACTCTCTATTTGGAGGGGGTAGTTATAGAAATTGTGAGATGGGTGAAATCACAACAAATAACTTCACTAAACAAGAGTTGGTCAACATGTTAATTAAATGCAACTACACTGTTTAAAATACAGGCCAAGACTTTTATCTAACTGTAAGAAGATACAATAGAACAGATTAAGCATGCCATTGATACACTGTATTTATTTTTTTAAGCAACTTTCCAAAATGCCTTACATTTCTGTTACAATATGGGTGTTACTTATGCATCTTTAACACTTGGGAGCCCACCCTCATGTTGACCTGACCCTGATACAGAGCTGTGCCAGTGTTTAGAACCCTGGCAACTGCTAGACAACCAGCTGTAAGTACAAGTTTTCTGAGGGAGTGCACCAACATCTTCCCAAGCCATCTTTGTCTTACTTAAAAGGACAGGAGGGATAAAGACAGAACATTCATTCAGAAAATATATCCTTTTATTAAAATAATGATACCCCCCCCCAAAAAAAAAAGCCAGGTGACTCCCAATACTCAGGAGTCAGGGGCAGACAGCTCTCTGTGAGTTTGGGGCCAGTCTGGTCTACAGAGGGAGTTCCAGGACAGGCAAGGCTACATAGAGAAACCCTGTCTCAAAAAAAAAACCTAAGTAATAAATAAATAAACAAACAAACAAATAAGATTCTGCGCAGTATTTTAACAAAATACTATTTCCATAGTTCTTTAACTTTGCTAAATACTGAGACTTCAATTTTATTTATGCAGTAAGGAAACAGCAAGAAAAAAAATACTCTTTTCTCTTCTTGAAAACAATTCCCATCAAATTGGGAAGTGTATTATTTATTATTTATAGTGAAACATACATGTAAAAAAGTGGGAAATGAAGGTGGGATCAGATCTCAAAAAGATACTTATCAAAAAACAAAAAAAAATTATTTTTGTTTTTTGATAAGTATCTTTTTGAGTTTTTATTTTTGTGAGACAGGGTCTCACAATATATTTTAGGCTAGCTTTCAATGCACAGTCCTCCTGCCTCAGCCTCCTCGAGTGCTGAGATTATAGGTGTATGACAACTATTCTGGTTATTTGTTTTATATTAACTTACCATTTCAAAAGTATTTACAAGGCCTGTAATTAGCAAATGAAACCTGTTATAAATTAATTATGTTTCCTTTGTTTGATATGCACATCTCTTTTCAGGAATTTTGTTTTTGTGTTTTTGAGACAGGGTCTCCCTGGCTGGCTATCCTGGAACCCACTATGAAGACTAGGCTGCCCTTGAATTAACATAGATCCACCTGCCATGTGTACCACCATGCCCAGCCCCAAAACATGTTCTTATCAGTAAAAAAAAAAAGAAAGAGTAATATTGAGGCAGGAGATATGGCTCAGCAGGAAAAGGTGCTTGCCACCAGGCCTGACAAGCTGAGTTTAATCCTAGCCCTACCTGGTAGAAAGAACCAAACTAACTCTTGCAGGTTGTCTTCTTACTTCCATCACACCACACACACACACACACACACACACACACGCACACGCACACGCACACGCATGGGATTTTTTTAAAAATTTAAAGGTAATGTCCTGGAGTATTAAAAAATAATTACAAAGCCTTTTTACAGCCCTTCAAGGAAGCTAAATTTTTATACTATGCTCAAAACGGTAAAATTATAGCTGGGAGTGATTGGTACATGCCTTTAATCCCATCACTCTGGCAGAGTCAGGTGAATCTCTGGGATTCAAGTTCAGCATGGTCTACATAATGAGTACCAGGATAGCCTGAGCTGCCTAGTGAGATCCTAACTCAAAGACAAACATACAAAAAAAAGTAGGATTATTTTGAGAAAAATCTGTTTACAAAGCATTAGTCAGAAAAATAAACAAACAAATAATGAAATACAAAAATTCTAAAGTCTAGGAGTAAACACTCTGGTTGGTTATTTGAAATACTGGATACATCAATAAAGTTATTGTTCAGGGAGTGTGACGCTTACTGTGTGCATACACTGGAGGGGCCTGTATTTCAGAATGCTTGCAAGAAGTGTTTGCTCCAAGTTAAGCTGTAAATTTAATATTACAACTAACAGACTAAAGACTCCGAAACAAAGACTCCAAAATTCACCTCTAAATAATAATGTATTTATAAAAGTCAAGAAAGTTTGCAAAAGAATGAATGAAAGGGCTGTCTCACCAGCTAATAAAACAGAATAGATCTTGTACAGAAAACAGTGGGACCATGAAACGGCATTAAAAGCCCTGAAATACACCCAAGTTCAAAGAATTTAGTCTATGAAAAAAGCTGTTATTTTTTTAAACAAAGGAACAATCAAAGCACTTGATAAATGATCTGGGAACAAGTTGGTAAATATGTAAGTGAAACTAAAATTAGGGTTCTAAATTCTCATTGTATACCAAAGAAAAAATGCTGAGAGAATCACAGTATAATAAGTGAAAACTTAAAAGAAATTTCACAACATTAGAAGGAAACAGACTAACATATATAATAATTGGGAATGCAGACAATAAAAGCAAAGAGAAGTCCTGTCCACTTAACACCCCAGTCTCAAATTGAGAGACAATAAAATTGACTGGGGGAAAATTACAGCATGTGACAGATTAACACAGGAGTTACTTTCACATTAAACAGATGAAGCTGGCAATAGTTACCTTCATATTAAAAAGATGAACCCGGCAACAGACTGCAGTACAGGCAAAAGATTATGCCCACATAATTTATGGTTAAATGAAACTAGCATATAAAATATCTGAAAAGCTATTCAGTGGAACCAATAACTAAATTGATGAAAATCAAAACAAAAGAAATGGTGAAAAATAAGGGGTGCAGAGCAAGGAAATAACCCTCATCCAATATGGCCAGGACTATGAATGAGTAGCTATAACATTTTTTATAAGGCAACATTGTATCAAAGATTAAAAGATGTACCATTTTTGGTCTAATACTTTCCCCCTCTGAAATGTGAACTAAGAAGATACACTGTAAGAATTCATTACAGGGACTGGTAATGTATCTCAAGGATAAAGCACTTGCCCAAAATGTAGGAGGCCCTGGGTTTGGTTCCCAGCACAGGAAAAAGTTAAGAAATACAAATAAAATCATTACAATGCTGCTTAATGTTTATTAAGCAACCAAATTGCCTATCAGTAACAATAAATAAATATTAATGACTGGTAAGCTAAAATGCTATGCACCTAACAACAACAACAAAAGATGAAGAGAGCTCAAACATTTGTTGATATGGAAAAGACAACAATCAGGTCACTTTGAAGGCAGTTCCCTATGAGCAGTAGCCTGGGGTGATTGGTTCTTTGTGCTTACTTCTAGCACCTAGAACAGTGCCCTGCACTGCTTCTCAAAAACCACTTATTAAATAGGTGAGATTTTAAAGCAGGCTACAGAACAACAGTCATGACTTGGTTTCCTCTCTTCTCCTTTGCCTGCCCTCTTCATATAAAAAATGTAATTGGGAATATAGGCACAAAAGGTTAACAGGGTAATATTTTGGTATATAACTATCATCTTTATTCCTTTCTGTACTGTCTAAGTTCCTTATATAGTAACTATTGCTTTTTTTTAAGAGCCTGTGTAGTTATAATGAATACAGATTAAAAATTATAAAGTTAGCAATGTCACACCGCCCGAGATATGTTTTCTTTCACTTTCAAAAAAAAAAAACAAAAAAAAAAACAAAAAAAACAAAAAACTGTCAGCTTATCTTGTACAAGTGTCATCTTTCTCAGTGTCAGGAAATGGCGCACCGAATAGAGAAAAAGCATATCTTTTCTATTAGGGGAAAAGCATATCTTTTCTATTAGGGGAAAAGCATCGATAAGTAATTGCTTAACATCCTATTCTACCCTATTCCTATTGCCCCCCACTCAAGCTAAAATGCCAAGTGAGTTCATCTCTTTCATTTATTTACAGTGACTTCCTTTTAAAGATATTTCACCTATATCATGGCTCTCCACTCCATCATCCTGTTCTGTTTTATTCAGTCTCTTCTGCTTTATAGGAAATAACCTTATTTGAATTTTTATCATGTTTCATTCTTCTAGAATGTAAGCTTCCCGAGGGCAGGAGATTTGTCCTGCTGTCATCTCTGTGTCCCCAGTCCAATACTAGGTGGTACCTAGTAGGCCTCGGGAGGCACCTGTCAAATGAAAATTTCTATGTGGAGGGCAGGTAGGATATAACTCCAAACAAGCCAATAAATAGAGAGAGAGAGAGAGAGAGAAGTAAGTCATTCTGAAATGCCACTCTGACAGGACTGAAAGCTGTACAGACTGGCTCAGAGACGACGGTTTTCAAGGCGAGCAGGTGCTCCACACCTATGTAAGCACACAGCTCTTCCAGGAAGGAGAAAACCCATAGGGAAGTCTCAGGGTGGTGGTAAGCAGCTCCCGGAAGAGTGCTAAGGACCATCACCATAAGAGACGTGGCCCGCGCAGGGGGGGGGGGGCACAACACACCATACATCTTGGCCCAGATGAAAAAAGATAACACGAATCCCCTACACAATCAGACCAAGCAGGAAACCCTCCACCACACACAGAAGCAGGCTCTTTCCCTAGGGCTCTGCAGGCGCCTGCAACCCAGAAGCCCTGTCGCGACACCAGCGCTAGTCCCTCTCCAGGACCCCGCGCCGCACTGTCCCAAGGAGACCAAGGCGGGGGGGGCACCGTTTGTGGATCAGCTTTCTCTACCCCCAGAACCCGCTGCCCTCCACGGCGCACATGCCTGCCAGCCTAGCTGGTCCCCAGGCCCCGACCCTCCAACTCACGTGTAGATGATGGACATGAAATGCATCAGCCACAGCACCACGAAGAGCACGAAGCCGAACAAGGCCATTCCCTCCTGGGCCAGGTCCAGCAGCGCCATCCCCCGGCCCGCTGGCCCGGCCCGGCCCGCTCCGGCCGCCGCGGACAGCGCTGCCGCGGGAGGAGGACGCGGGGGCCGCCGGGTGCGGGGCGCGGGCCGCGAGTGGAAGGTGGGAGAGGAAGGGCCGGCGGGGCGGCGGGCGTGCGGACGGAAGGGGCGGGCAGGGCCTGCGCGCCCCTGGCCGCTGGGCGCGCGCTCGGCACCGCGCGCTCCTCAGCGTGCGCGCGCTGGGGGGCTGCGGGCTCAGCGCTAATCTGGCTGCGCGCTCCAGGCGGCCGTTGCCGCGCGCTCGGGCTCCTGTGGTCCAGACCCTCCCGACTGCCGCCGCCGCAGCCGCCGACCCGCTCGCTTGCTGCGGCTTCGCCTTCTGATCCGAACCCGCTGCCGGCGCCCGAGTCCCGGCACTGTGCGGTCCGCCCCGCCCCGCCCTCCGGAGCCCGCTGCCCGCCCCCCGGGGCGGCGCCCTCGCGCCTTGGCGCCCGTCCGCGCGCCCACGGGCGGAGCTGCCCCCGCGTGCTCGCCGCCCGACAGCCGCCAACCGCTGCCGCGGCCCGCGCCCGCGCCCGCGCCCGCGAGTTCAATCTTCGTGCGCCCCCCGCACCGTCTCTAAGCAGCACGCGCCGCCTCTACACTTCTCTTGGCCAAATCCGGAGGAGCCAAGAGACTGTGTTATTTAAGGAATCTCCAGGATCAGAACTGGAAGAATCCCTTGGTGCTCGACTGGCCCAAGATTGTGCGTCCACTAGGGCAGCTGAATGTAACTTGTCTAAAATGTAGCCAATAGAGTTATGGAAATGTAGCTAGTTCAAGTAGGGGTGGGCTGTTAGTGTTGCCAGTACACCGAAGATGCTGACAAACCATCTCATTCATAAATCTTGTGTTATTTGCGGAATGATAGATTTTGGACATATTAGTTAAATTACGTTACATTTTTTAAGGCTGTTAAAATGTTGCTAGTACTTAAACGTTTAATTACACGTGTGCACGACACTGACATGGAGAAACAAAGGCTGAGCGCTGTGTGGGAAGCCTAGATGTAGCCCAGTTACTTCTGGGACTGAGGCAGGAGGATTACCTGCACTTGAGCACACAACATTCTAGCCCAGACTGGGTAAATTCAGTGAACACCTGTGGTGGAAAAATAAAACAGTATCCCAATTTTACGTTAGTCCTGGGAGAGGCTGGTAGTAATGTTTCCATTTGTTTTTTCAGCCTGGATACATTTATATTATTTAAGATTGTTCTGTATTTAAACTTTATTATTCAAGTTATTTTAAAAATAATCCATGACCTGCCTCTATTGATTGTAGTTAATAATTGAACAGCCTCATCTGGGCCGTGGTGCTTCACGCCTTTAGTCCAAGCTCTCAGAAGGCAGAGGCAGGGGGATCTATGTGAGTTCGAAGCCAGCTTGGTCTACAAAGCTGCACAGAGAAAACCTGTCTTGAAAAATCCAAATAAAACAAAATAATTGGGCAGCCTCATTCTATGATTTAAATGATAAATAAACTACAATTACAAGAATTTAAGGTGTGCAATGTCGCTTGTTCTACTGGCGTGATATCATTGAGAAAGAATCATGCTTAAAAAATAATTTAGCATTGTTGAGAGTTACTTGTTGGTAGTTACAGCAGGATGGGATCCATACATGGAAATAGTAACACAAGTTTTTTAATGCTGCGATTGTGGTTAATCAATTCTAAAACCCACTTTTAAATAATTCTTAAAGCATTTTTAAGATTCCTAAATGGAAATGCATCTCACACTCAATAATAGAATCTTACAAATATAATAATAGGCCAGCTTTCTTTTTCTAAAAATTTGCTTCTTATGGGGGTTGGAGATATGGCTCAGCAGTTAAGAACACTGGCTGCTCTTCCAGAGGACCCCTGTTTAATTCCCAGCACCCACATAGCAGCTCACAATTGTCTGTAACTTCAGTATCAGGGATCTGACACCCTCACACAGACATACATGCAGGCAAAACATCAATACACAGAAAATAAAAACAAATCATTAAAACATAAAATGTGTGTTAGTGGCATACAAAACAATACTGCTTCTTATCAAACTCCCTTGAACTTGTTCAATGGCATAAATTGCTCAATTTGTACATTTTGTTGCATTTTTCATTTTTCCAAATCTTTCCTGAACCCTTACAGCAAAAGATTCCATACGGTACAGTGAGCAACACAGAGGGCCAAAGAAAGTTGGTGTAATTTGGTATAACCTAATAAAGATCAACTATGTTGTACTTCATCTTGGTTAAAATTAGTCTGTTCAAATCTGGATGTCAAACAACAGCCCCAGGCTCAGCTGTTAAAAGCACTTGCTATTCTTTCAAAGGACTCAGTAGGAGATGCTGTGCCCATGGAGGGCAGGGGAGGGTGTCTGGTCCCCCACCAGGTCCCCCAGAACTGAAGTTACAGATGGTTGTGAACAGCCAAGTAGGTGCCACTCGGGTCCTTTGGAAGAGCAGCCAGTGCTGTCCCTCCAGCCCAAGAAAAATATTATCTTTGATGAAATTCCTCAAAGACACCAATCTAAAAAGTCAACATACTGCAAGATTTCAACACTGATACTCTTAAGAATGGCAAAGTAAAAACAAAAGATACCAGTGATTGCCAATTATTCTGTATGATCTTGTGATGATACATGACATATTAGGCCAGAAAGTACACCAAGAGTGAATGCTAATATATGTGGACTTTGGCTGATAAGGATGTGTTGCTTCATCAACTGTAACAAATGTATCCAAATGTATCACTCTAATATGAGAATTTTAACAGTAGAGAAGTCCTGGAGAGAGAGAGGTAGTGGGGTATATGGGAATGTAGGATTTTTCTTTTCAGTTTGGCTCTAAAATTCATATAAAAATAATGACCATACATACACACATATGCTATATAATGTATTATATAAATAAACATATGTACTGAATGTATTCAAATAGTTAATAGTGTTTTGTTGTTGTTGTTGTTTGCTTTTTGTTGTTGCTGTTGTTTGGAAATAGGCTTCTCTATGTAGCCTTTGCTATCTTGGAACTCTCTCTGTAGACCAGGCTGGCCTAAAAGAGTCCCACCTGCCTCTGTCTCTCAAGTGCTAGGATTAAAGCTCAAATGTGTTTTATTAATTATGTAAATATATGTAACAGGAAATGCTGATCAATGAGATCCCATAACTTTCTACCTAGTAAGCAAGCATTAAAATATCTCTTCAGTGCGTGAATAAACTATTCTATATTGCCAAAAGTCACTGGTAAATTTTCTCAGATTTCTTTGTTCTTAAATTTTAAAGTTTTTTTAAAGAAAAAATACATTATCAACCACAGTTCCTCTTTCCTCTTACAAAATTAATTCACAAAACTGAATAAAAAAATACAGGGCCTAGAGGTACAGCTCAGTGATAGATCACCTACTTGGCAGTCTCAAGGCGAGTTCACAGCTGGGATGGTGGTGCACACCTATGACACTTACATTTGAGAAGCAGAGGCAGGAAGATGGTGAGCTAGACCATGGTCTACCTTGACCTACCCAGGGAGACCAGGTCTCCACAAACCAACCCAACATAATAATGATGCCAGAAACCCAGTCCCCTAATATTACTGGGTTAAGATATATATTGTAAATTTTCATCCCTAATTTAAATTTCATTAAATTTACAAAGTTATTTCCCAGGCATTGAGTACATTTGAAGTTTTAAAAGCAAACTTAATTTGGATGCTAACTGACAAGAGAAATCTTATTTTTCCTCTGTTCTAATTGTAATTATGAAAACACTGTATTTAGGTACAGCTGAGATGATTAGCATTTCTTTGTTTCCTATAAAATATTCACTGTCTAGAGACCTTTAGATCCTAGGATACCTACTTTACTCTGAATAACCTTCAAATGATACAAAAGTTGCAAGTAAATTGACTGCTCAGGGCCTTGGGTCTTGTTGATAAACTGTAGGCATGGTGTGTTTGTTTATATGGGTGTGGTCCAGGGGAGTGCCCACAGGTCACTAGAGTTCAAATCCTCTTTGGCTACTTTGCTCTTGTCTGAATGTCCAACTACAATCTGGTTTATTATACACTTACTTTTCTTTTAAATTTTTCATATTTGATTTTACAATGTATTTTGCTGGCCCACAGTTTACTAGTTCAAAACATTAATATGTGTTCTTTATTGTTTAGTTATATTTCTCCTATTTCCTATAAGAAGAAACAGATGTCGTTGGTATTTTCCTAAATTAGTTTGAGCTAAAACACTTTTTAAAAAGGTGTGTGTGTGTGTGTGTGTGTGTGTGTGTGTGTGTGTGTGTGTGAGTATACACAAGAGTATACTTGTTTGAGCCAGATGTCAACATCCGGAGTTTTCCTTAGCCACTTCTCCATCTTATTTATTTATTTATTTATTTATTTATTTATTTATTGAAACAGGGTCTCTTGCTGAACCTGAAGGTTCCAGTTTCCTAAAGCATGTCACCCACTGAATCCTCATCTCCCAAGCTCTTGGTCTTCTACTTCTGACCAGTCTGCCTTAATCTTCGAAGTACTAAGATTACAGCCCTAAACTGCCACACCTGGCTCAAAGAAAGCAAGCCTGGGAGACAGTGCCCTCTTGATTCTTCTACCTGCCACTTTTTCTCTAGAGTGAGTACTCTGAAATTCCTGTTAATTGAAGTAACTGATACGCTAAAAGGAAAGACCAAGATGTTCAAATTGCTGATGCATCGTGGCATCTCTTACAATGTAATTTACTACATTTCAGACAATAAGATTAACTTGTACGTAATATTGCTTATACACTAAATGATATCAGACAGAAATCTACTTTGGAAACAGCACTTTAGGATTGAACATCTATTATATAGTGTTTAAAATAATTCAGTATTGAACTTGCTCAGTCATGTAAACAACACCGGCTTTTCTGCCTGACAAACCTAGGTCCGAACTCCATCTCCCTCACTATCAGATCTATAAGGTGAGTTATTTCACTTAATCCTTTTGGCCTCCAATTAAATATCCCATGACTGCTATAAAAATCAAGTTAATATTTTAAAACATCACCAGACACAAAGCCTCTACTTCTTACTTTGAAGTAATACTTCAAAGTATTACTAACAATTTTATTAGAATGTGAATTCTTTTTAAGCCCAGGTCTCACTATGTGTCCCTGGCAGACCTGAAACTCGCTCTGTAGACCAGGCTGGCCCCAAACTCACAGAGATTCCCCCTGCCTTTGCCTCCCGAGGACTCCCATTAAAGGCCGGTGCCATAATGCCTAGCCAAATTTAACTTCCATTAAGGAACAATGACTGTTAAGATAAATTCAGTTTGAGCACAGACTGGGCTTGACTTTCGGTTCTTCTGTTTATTTGCCTTGTGGTCTGAAAAGGTCAGTTACCTTAGTGCTCTTG